AAATGTATTGATTGTGTATTTTGTGGGTTACTATTATTGTTAAGTCCAATAGCGAAGCGCACTTTACATTCGTGATCTGATTGCAGGAAGAGCCTCATTGTTCACCTTGACAGTAACTGATTGCCCCAAATTCCCGTGGTAATGAACTGGACACAAACGGGCTTGAAATTCTATCCCCAGAAACCTGCGAGTTGGCAGCCACACCATGAGCACAACTGATTGACGTGTTGCCAACAAGCAATAAATTGCAATGCATTTCCTTTCACTCTGAAAAATGTAGTAGAACATGTTAAAGGCCATGTTTCTATTGGTCCAAGGCCATGTCTGCCTATATGAGGGGATGTTAAATAGGCCTGTAATGTTACTGCGAAAGAGTAGGATGTGCCTCCTGGCCAAAGATTAAAGATTTGACTTTTTTTCTTAAATGCGTGAGAAAAAAAAACGATATACAGTGCTATCCACATGTGTAGGACGTCTCAGAGCATGTGACTCTTCTGAGTGGGCATCCGAGCTGAGGGTGGGAGCCGAGGGGGTGGGAAGGGAAAGATGACCTAAAACGTGGTCAAAGAAGTTTTGAGGTAGACTTTGAACGAGGTGAGGGAGGGAGCAAAGCGGAGGAACTCCGGGATGGAATTCCAGACAGCGGGAGCAGAATGGCTGATAGCTCGCCCACCGGTGGTAGGATGGATAAGGCATGGGACATGAAGCAGACCAGGTCATATTTGGAGAGGCAACAAATATCTTTTGCTGAGACTGAGTAAGCAATGGAATGAGCCAGATGGGTATGATCGCATCAAGGAGACAATACAAGAGTACACAGGTTCAAGAGTATGAGGAGCAATTTCAGGACAGACATCAGGAAGTATTCCTTTACACAGAGGGGTATCGATGATTGGACAGGCTACCAGAAGGAGTGGTTATAGCCAGGACCTGGCTCATTACTTGCTGCTGTGTGGGGAGGATGGGAGGGTGGGTTTCTGGAAGGATGAGATCAAACAGGCAGCTTCTTTGGAACAGAGCTCTAATAATAATAATCCTTCCATTTGATATAGCGCCTCATCACATCGTTGAGAAATCTCAAAACACTTTACAGAATTGTAAAGTGGATTGACTCTGTGTTTATGGATGAAACACATCGGCCAATTGTGCACAGTAGTGTCCCACATACAGTCATGGATTGAGTAACCAAATTATTTTTTTTGGAGAGGTTATTTCCCCCAGAAAGCGATCCACCAATTGACTGATGGCCAGGTTCCTACATATTGCTAGGTAAACATAGGCGTGTGGAGTAAGGAAACTTACCTAATGGTTTGTTCCACCCAGGAATCAAACCCAGGTCCTCTCACTTGTGAGGCGAATGCGCTAACCACTATCCTATGGGGCTCTACTCTGAATGGTCTCTGTAAAGTGACTCAGGATGTTTACTCTGCGTGAAAGGTGCTGTAGAGGTAAGCATTGTTGGTATTGACAATGGCAACGGAGAAGAAGGATGGCCCATTGTGCGCTGAATCGCTACCTCGTGACCATTAACAGTTAGCTGCCAGGAACTGGCAACAATCAGTATAAACATTATGTAAACCACACAGTATTTCCAGGAGAAACAAAAAGGACCAATCCACATTCAGTGTGCCCTTTCCATTCAGAGCAGCTCCTGCGGTGGGGAAAGAAGCCAATGGAGATGAATAAACCACATGATACTTGAGGAAGTTTACAAAAACAATGAGCCAGTAAAAGCATGGACAAAGGCATTAATAGGGGAAGTTCAAGGCATAAATGAGAAACTCTAAGATCTACTGCCTCTTTTTCTATTCCTGAACTGCTGGCTAGATTGCCGCTGCTTGTCCACCTAGGACCTTTAGGGCTTTAGACACCAGTTTCACGTCCTCCCGACGTGAAAGGCGCTCTATAAATGGAATCTTGTTGTTGTTGTTGTTGTTGATAGTCATTAGGCAGTGGGGAATATGAAGCAGACCAGTGCAGAGGTAGTGAGGCCCAAAGCCATACCGGGGCTTTCCAAATGAAGTCCTTGAGTTGCCAAGCTTCTGCACAGCTCCTGCCCATCAACGCCAAGGGGTGGGGAGTGCCAGAAAGGAGGAATTTACACTCCGAGAATCCCCTTCCTTGTTCCTTATAGAAGGTTCACCTTATATTTTTCCAGGGGGAGGTTCAGGCACTACATTCCAGAAACAATTGCACAAAGAGAGAAAAGAAGATGCGTGAGGTATCGTTAAATGAAACAATCATATTCCATTGTCTATGCCTATGCCCAGAAGCACTTGCACAGTAACACGAGGCACTCAGAGCTATCCTATCCTGCTATCCTGCGGATCTGGTAAGTGATAATCCAGTGGGTGTGCGTCACAATAAAAAGAAAATGCAGGTTGTGAAATTACCTCACAACCTGTCAGGTAGCAGGTAGGAAAGCCAGCCTCGCAGTCTCCCTTCACTAGTCTGAGCGAAATGGTAAGCTTGCATTGATTTTATCCCACCCATTTTGACTGGGCTTCATCAACTTTTAACCCCCTTCCACCTTTGAGATGTCATTCCAACCTGAAAGGTGCTGTACAATTGTACGTGGCATTGTACTGTAACGCTCTTTAAATTAAAAACGGTTAGAAACTTTGACTTATTGTAAGTGAGTGATCTGCATCTTATAATAATAATAATAATCCTCAAAGCACTTCACAGGATATAAATAATCCTTGCATTTAATATAGCACCCTATCACGTCTTCGAGACATCTCAAAGCGCTTCAGAGAATATACTGTAAAGTGAATTGACTGTGTAATTTTGCATAGCAGTGTCCCACAAACAGTTGTGGATTGAGTGACCAAATTATTATTATTATGTAAATTTTTTTAAAGGATTTATTACCCCCGGAAAAGTGATTTGTCAATTGACTAATAATCGTGTTCCTACTCACTGCCAGGAGTAAGAAAACTTAGCTAACTTTTCGCCCTGCCCGAAATCGAACCCAGGTCGCTTTCCGAGGCAAGTGCTCTATAACCCACAGGGAAGGATCATTTTTCATCCACTTCACAGGATTTACTGTAAAGTGGATTGATCGTGAATCTTGTAGATGAAATATAAATCTTACCAAATCTGGAAACCTTATATAGAAATTAAGGCCTTTTATAAGCTTTCATTGTGATAAGCCACAGTGAAGGGTTCTTTTCCATTTGGCAACAGTAAGTCACCCAGAATTTCTCACTGTGATTAACGAGACATGAAATTAGCAAATTTCTAAGACAACCAATTCGATGACCAATCCAGTCTTCATTAATAAATTAATGAAATTCACCCTAATATCCAAATAATTGTAATTGTAGCATATTGGTTAGTGTGCTTGCCTCGCAAGCAAGAGGACCCGGGTTCGATTTCCGGGCAGGGAGAAATCTAAGGCAAGTTTCCTTACTCCACTTTGTTTACCTAGCAATTGGCTGCCACATTTTGCCCACAAAATATAGTCAATTCACTTTACAGTATATTCTGTGAAGAGCTTTGAAACTCCTGAAAGACCAGATAAATGCAAGGATTATTATTATGAATAATATTATTATTATGAAGATGATTAAATTAACCCTTATATTAAATAACCAAATGAACCGTAATATTTAACTTTAAAAGCTAACATTAAGCACTTTGAGATGTCCTCCTGATGTGAGAGGTGCTGTATAAATGTAGATCATATTGGAAAATCAGATCTGCTCCTTTCTTCCAGCTTCTGTTTGTGCACAGCCCAATTTTGCTGCAAAGTTACAAAACAGAAGACAGACAAGAATGGGTTGCGGACAGGTTAAGGTCTGACCAGAAATAAGAAAACTAATGTATAAACTTTGCCAACTTTCTAAACTTTGTCACTTCCAGACCTGGGAGTGCTCAGAGTGGGGCCTGGCATTCCAAGGATTAAGGCACCTTGGGCCTTTTTGGTTTCATCCAGGTACTCACCATTACTGAGTCAAAGAGAAGGTGAGGAACCAAATGCAGCTTGCAGTCAGTGCTGTGTTACATACCATTAATATAGTAACAATACTTGGATTTGATCATTTGATATGGCGCCTTACCATGTCAGGATTTGTCCTTTAAGGTTCCCCTTTAATATGTTCTCTTCCTTGTGCACAATTTCAAGTCCTGCTATTTGCTGATTGCTGAAGATGCTGATTTTGTTGCCATCCGTTCCCTTGGTTCTCAATGGAATTGGTTGATTGACAGTCTGTCACTGTACAACAGTACACTGCTCAGCAGACAGGCTTTGAGGCTCAGACTGACACAGCTATGAATAGTTCAAAAGTTAACAAAATTACTCTACCAAATCAGGTGGGCCTGACCGCCTTCCTCCACCTCCGCCACATTGCACGCCTCCGACCGTATCTTACCCCAAATGCAGCTGAAACCCTTGTACAAACGTTTGTCACCTCCTGCCTCGATTACTCAAACGCATTGCTCGCTGGGCTACCCAGCTCCACTATTCAAAAAAGTTAGCTCATTCAGAACTCTGCTGCCCGCATACTGACCTGGACCAAACTCCGTACCCACATCTCACCAGTTCTAGCCAGGCTCCACTGGCTCCCCATCACCGAATGGATCGACTTCCAGATCCTCACATTCATGTTCAAATCCATTCATTTCTTGGCACCTCCCTACCTCCCCGACCTCCTCACTCCCCAATCCACCACCCGGCCCCTACGCTCGACTGGCACTGGGCCCCTTCTTATCCCTCACACCCTCCACTCTACCATTGGAGGTCGCGCTTTCAGCTACTATGCTCCAAAGCTCCGGAAGACTCTCCTCAGTCCATCCGATTCCCCCCCCCACTCCCTTTTTTCAAGTCCGGCCTCAAAACCTTCCTTTTCGACCGTGCTTATGGCTACCTCCCCCCAGGCTCGGAGCCAGGCTCCGCCACTGTTAAATGCTCTGAGACTCTACCCTGCGTGGAAGACACTATACAAGTGCACGTTGTTGTTATTGTAAGGATTATTAATTATTATTATTTCTAGGAAATGAATGAGACCTGCACGGACATCAATGGAGCTTTGGAAACGTACTACCTGCCAACAATGTACAGCATCGAGTTTGTCGTGGGGCTGATCGGGAACCTGACTGTGATTTGTGGCTATTTGTTCTGCCTCAAGGAATGGAAGTGCAGCAACATCTATCTCTTCAACCTGTCCATCGCTGACCTGATCTTTATCTGCACCCTCCCTATGTTTATAGTTTATTATGGAAACGGCAAGAAATGGATCTTTGGTGACGTGATGTGCAAGCTGAACCGCTATGTCCTTCATGCCAACATGTACATCAGCATCCTCTTCCTTGCCTGCACCAGCATCGATCGTTACCTGCTGGTGCTCAACCCAATGAGACTCCACTTGTTTCAGAGGAAGCAGTCTGCCGTGGCCATTTGCGTGGCCATGTGGCTGATTGTCACTCTGGAGATCATCCCCATGCTGACCTTCATCGGCCCCAACAACATAAGTGAGCACAATAATATCACCGTTGTTAAGTGTGTGGACTATGCCAGCTCTGGCAATGCTGGCAACAACCTCATCTACAGCTTGTGCCTTACTGTTTGTGGCTTCCTCCTCCCTCTGTGCGTCATGTTTTTTTTCTGTGTAGGGACAGCCCGGGCCTTAACCAGGTTAAGTCAAGAACGAGCGAACAACATCACCCTGGAGAAGCCCCTGACCTTGGTCATATTGGCCGTGGTGATTTTCTTGGTGCTCTTCACCCCCTACCACATCATGAGGAATGTCCGCATCTTGTCCCGGATGGACAGCATTGGCTTTTCTGAATGCACGATCGTGGGCATCAAGGCTAGCTACGCTGTCACCAGACCCATCGCCTTCCTCAACTCAACCATCAACCCCATTTTCTATTTCTTGCTGGGAGATAAATTCAGAGACACACTCACCAACAGGGTGAAGGTGATCTGTTTGAAATTCACCTCGTGCTTGGTGAGAAGACCGATGTGTTAACAATATCACCAATTTTTGGCAACAGCAAAGCACTGAGATTTCCATCACCTCGAACACTGCATTGTCAGAAGCGCCGTCCTTCAGATGAGATGTTGAACTGACATCCCCCATCTGCCTGTTCGGGGCAATGTTAAAAATCATTATTGATCTAACACCTGTTTCCTTTTGTCTCACTGCCCGGGGATATTGGCAGACAACAGATGTTGTCAGCTGACTTTCATCTTTGACTTATCCTGGCATGTGCGTGTGCCCTGGAAGATTGAAGTTGTGAGGGAAATACTGAAAGCCATCTTTTCACTCAGAGGTTTACAAGATCACAAAATTGGTTGGGGTGAAGAAGACCCTTCTGCCCATCTGATTTCATCCCACAAGTATTCCCATCCTACTATCCCTCTAACATTGTGTAAAGCTGCTTTTTAAATGAGTCCCAGTTTCCTAGCTTCAACCCTTCCTTGCAACCTGTTCCAGGTGTTAATTACTCACTGCATGAAGAAAAACTTCGTGGTGGCTGTCCTGAAAAGCTTCTCTGAAGAGCCCGAGCTTATCTAATGTTGCTCACAGCTCGTTCCCTCAACATTGGAAATCATCCTTTTTGGAACATGGAACACTTTCACTATGAAGGCTGAGAGAAGAACAACATTTAAAAGCAAATTTGATGGACCTAAGAAAAGGGTATCTTTTTGTTTTGGATTCCCTTTCCCAGAATTGATATGCTCACGATGCCCAATACACATAATTTCCTAGACCAAAACATGGACTTTTAGCAACCAGACCAGAGACCTTGGTCCCAACCTAGCCGATCACAAAATGTTCAATTTTCAGCCTTTTTAACTAAAGATTTCGGCATTTTGTTTGCAAAATGTGCCTAAAACACTCTACCAATCCTGGCTGACAATCCCCCAAAGAAAATCGATTATCCGTGTCATGGCTGTTTGTGGGACTTTACTGTGCACAAATTAGCAGCTGCGTTAGTCAATAAATGCACAGTCACTACACTTTACAGTGAATCCTGTGAAACGCTTTGAGCTGTCTTCCTGGCAAGAAAGGCACTCTGTTAGATACAAGGTTGATTGTTATTCCTCCCACTCTCCGTTTTGGGATGTCCCTCCAGGGAGGTGACTCCTACACACTTAGGTTTGGAGACTCTCAAGCACAGTAGTGGGTTTCCCTGTGTGTTGGACACTTGGTTGACCGCTGAGCTGTCAATGATAACACTCAGTCTCTGGACAGATCAAGCCATTGGATTGGTCAGCCAGTCAATGGATTTCTAGCTATCCCACAAGCCACAAAGATATTTTGTTGTTTGATGGAAACTATTGATTATTTTACTGCATAATTTATGTAAGAAGTAACACCTGAGCTATGTGAGTTTGTTAAATATAATGCCTTCATTTAGCAAAATAACATAACAAATCGTCAAATGTCTGTGTGGCTTTTTTTTTGATGTTCGTATGCAGTGTGATGGGTTTCTTTGTGTGTCAGACACCTGACTCACCAAAAACAGAACATGTGCAGCTCCTTATAACTCTTTCCAGGTCCCAATTCCCAATTAACGCAACCTCAAGTCCAAGATCACACTTGAGGTTCTGATGGTAACCACTAGGTGGCACCACTTCAAACTCTAATCTTCTGCCCGGCTCGCAGATCTCCCCAGCTCCACCATTCACAACGTCCCACTGATTCAAACTCGGCTACCCGTATTCCTCACCTGTACCAAACTCTGCACCCCATCACTCCAGTCCTTGCCGAGCCAAACTTGCAGAATGGATCAATTTCAAGATCTTCACCCATACTTACATATCATTTATCGCTGGCACCTCCCTAACCTGTAGCTCAGTGGTTAGAGCACTCACCTTGCAAGCGAGACACCTGGGTTCAATTCCAGGCAGGGCAAAACCTTGGGCAAGTTTCCTTACTCCAGCCCTAATAATAATCCCTCCAAAACAAAACAATAATAAACTGGTCATTTTCAATCCACGACTGTTTGTGGGACACTATTGTGCGCAATTGGCTGCTGCATTTCGTCCACAAATATACGGTCAATTCACTTTATAGTATATTCTGTGAAGCGCTTTGAGACGTCTAGAAGACGTGAAAACTGCTATATAAAATGCAAGGATTATTATTATTATTACCTCTTCGACCTGCTTATACCCTATTCTTGTACCTTGTCCCTTCAGCTCCACACTGTAGCCCTGCTTTCAGCCCCTGTGCCCGAAGCTATGGAACTCCCTGACTCAATTCCTCCTCTTTGCTCGTATTCAGCTTGCACCTAGGACTTTCTTCTCCTTCCCTCTCTCCCCAGCTCGGAATGATACTACACCATTATTAAGGGCTCCAAGGCACTCCCCGGTGTGAGGGGCACTATATAAATGAAGATTTTTTTTTGGCCAGCTGGATCACAATGCAAAGAGTGAATTTACGCTGCCGTTGACAAGATGTAGGTAATTTATCATGGAGCATTTAGTGCCATATACTGACTGAGCTATTATTCCCCCACCCATGTATCTGCTCTATGTATTTCACCACCTCTAAGCTTTACCCTACATGAAGTGCTGCTGTTGTTGATACCACAGTGGTCTTTGGTAGCCAATACAACTCTGGCCATTGATACAGACCCACTAACATCAAAAAGGTTCAATGTGCTTTACAAGAACTATTCCCACAAATAGTGACTACTCAGAGTGGTCAAACACAATGGTTCGAAACCCAACCCAACCCAGCCTCCACCCAACCCCATCCCCATCTGCAATCCCATCCCCAACCCCATCCCCATCCCATCCCCATCTCCAAGGTCATCCCCAACCCAACCCCATCCCCAAACTAACCCAATCCATTTCAACCCCAAGCCATCCCTAACCCCATCCCCAACCCATCTTCAACCCATCCCCACCCCAATCCATCCCCAACCCAACTAATCCCAAACTCATCCCCAACCCAACCCTATCCCAATCCCAACTCAATCAAACCCCAAAGCATCCCCAACCCATCCCCAACCCCATCCCCAGCCCCAAACCAGCCCCAACCCAATCCCATCCCCAACCCAACCCCATCCCCAATTCCCAACACCAACCCAGTCCCATCCCAGCCTCCACTCAACCCCAACCCCAACCCAATCCCATCTCCAGCCTCCACCAATCCAAGCCCCATCCCCAACCCAGTCTCCACCTAACCCTGACCACATCCAACTCTGACCCACGCTCAACCCAAAGCAACCAAGATACATGTCAATTAAAAAAGAGAATACAGTTTCTCTTGCTGTCCTGGCCACAATTCTCTCGCAAAAAAATGGTCATTCATCTCAGTGCAGTTCATTGATCTTTTTGTGTGCAAAACATCTGCATCGTTCACCTACACAGACATTCACTAATCTTTACAGGAATTATTATTTGAGTCTTTCAAACATGATAAGGTGCTATAACAACAATGACAACTTGCATTTATATTGTGGAGTCCTGTAGCTTAGAGGTTAGAGAACTTGTCTCACAAACAAGAGGACCTGCGTTTGATTCCCGGGCAGGGCAAAATGTTGGGCAAGTTTCCTTACTCCACATGCCTCTGTTTATCTAGTAGAAAGTAATAATAAAAATAATAATAATTGGTCATCAATCCGTGACTTATATTGGACTCTGCTGTGTGCAATTGACTGCCGCATTTCGCCCATGAAATAAACAGTGAATTCACTTTATATTATACTCTGTGAAGTACTCTGAGACGTCTCAAAGACATGAAAGGTGCTATATCAAATGCAAGGATTCTTATTATTATATAGTGGCCTTCACGTAGGGTAACGTCTCAGAAAATAAAAAAAAAGGTTCATTTTCATTCTCATAAATCGCAAATCGAGGTTTGGAAAACAGGAAGTTGCTGAATTAAGTGCTTTGACTTGCAGTCATGGTGACTGCTCATTTGTGCAATGCTATGGCCCAATTGTGGCCACCTTATAGGAACATCCAAGGTCTTGCGGTGATGTCTCACCATGTCTCATCTTCCTAAGTGTGACACTGCACAAATGCAGAGCAATACAAGGTATAGGTCTCATTCAGTGGAAAATCAATAGGAAAATTTTGACGACAATATCTCCCAGTCAACCTCAAATCAGTAAAATGCAACCTTTTCCTAATGAGCTACTTTTCCATATCACAAAATCAATTGAATGAAAAATCCCCTTCGAGGCTGATCTGATCTCACATCTGCAGAACATCCATCCTACCGCCCCCCTTTACAGCATCAACTAAGATAACACATAACTCTGTCTACAAGTGGAATGATTAATTACAGGTTGACCAAAAAGTTGTGATGTCTATCCTATTATCTACACAAGATGGCTGAGATATTTTCCCAACACAGTGAAAAACACAGAAAGATTGAAGTTTCACACTACTTCTAATTGTGGGACATTGCTGTGTGAAAATTGGTTAAGTGTTCACCAACAAAAAGCTCTGTGATCATTTCCTTTAGATTACTTTGAAACATTTCAGCATGTTAGGAGCTGTATCACATGATGATTATTTTATTAACATTTCTCAGAAATCTTTGTACAGCGTGTGAATGGTTATTTTTCGTCCACCAGATGTCTGACACATGCGGAAACCCTTCACCATGCCTAAGAGTATCCAAACCAAACTGAAATTTCCATGCATCCCACCTACACGTGTAAATCCCAGGGATAGATTGTTGGAATGGAATGTGCACTCTATCCCTGGAGGGATACACCTTGCTCATCTAATTCTGGAAAGTATTAGACTCAGGTTGTCGAGAGCCAAGGCTTGGAGACTTCAGAATGTGTGGATGTGGATTTTATCATTGTTGATTTCACCAACAATAAAGCAGTTATTATCACCGAGTTCAGTGGAGCTGCATTACAACAACAATAAATTGCATTGATATAGCGCCTTTCACTTCAGGTCATCTGAAGGTACTGACCTTTGAAGGAGGTCTTGCTTCTGAGTCAGTTGATTGTGGGTTCAAACCTTACCTTACAGTCTAAGGTGATGCTCCAATGCAGTGCTGGG